GCTGATTTGGCTTAACAAAATAGATGTTAGGCGTTCCCTTTGTTTTGTGTTGTTTCAATCCATTTTTACTGAAAAACTTTCCCTTATATATATTTTCACGTGGTTCTCTCGTTTAGAAATACTTAATTTATTTCGAATGTATAACACAAATATAACAAAGTTCTGTAGATAAATCATTATTATTATTGATAACAAAAATAAAACTAGACCAAGAAAATTACAAAAAAAAATTAATAAATGAAAATATTTTATTTTTATACTATTTTGATTAGTTTACCAATATTCTGAAAAAGAAATTTTTGTGAAATAGATAATTAAGCGTAGCAGAAAATAAATGTAAGAAATGTTTTTGATTTATAGTGAATAATTTTAAACAAATCAAACCAAAAAATGTAAGCAACATTGAATGAAAAATGTAAATAGTCGGATGATTTAAAATAAATCCAGATTTTCAGGTTTATAAATATTTTTTTAAGGTATCCGACTACGTTCGGAACCGTGATTTTGCAAAAGCTTACAAATGGATAATATTCATGATATTTGTGCCACTTATATTAGAAAACGTATATAAAATTTTTTAAGAATATTAATATAATAAAAAATTATTTAAGTACAATATTTTGACAAAAAAAAAGGACATAGAAGGACCCATTTTCAAAACATTCTCCTTTTATGAAAAATACTTTTATTATAATAATATTTTGCCTGTATATATCTCAGACCTCTGTACAGAGGCTGAACCAGAATTTTTGAAGTATATAACTTAGAAGTGGATTTATCCAGATTTTACTACATCAGAGGGGAGACAGTTTAAGAAAAAAAGCCGATAGAGATATTTCATTTGGTAGTAAATAATGTGAATTTTTCAAAAATCCTACTTGAGACTCTCTGGAGAAGTCTTTATTTTATATAAGAGCACACACACACATACAAAATATTATTACAGAAGCAATTTTTATAAATGGAGAACGTTTTGAAAAGAAATTATTCTAAGTTAATTTTTTGCCAAAATATTGTATTTTAATTTTTTTTTCTTATAATGTACTTAAGGTATCCGACTACGTTAGAAATCGTGATTTTGCAAAAGTGTATAAATGGATACTATTTATGATATTTAGTGTCACTTAGATTAGAAAATATATATAAAATTGTTTTAAGAATAGTATTACAATAAAAAATTATTTAAGTACACTATTTTGACAAAAAATGAACAAAGAATGACCCATTTTTAAAATATTCTCCTTTGCAAAAAAAAATGCTTCTATTATAATAATATTTTGCCTGTATATAGCTCAGACCTCTGTACAGAGGCTCAACTAGAATTTTTGAAATATATAACTTAGAAGTGGGTTTATCCATGTTTCACTGCAACAGAGGGGAGAAATTTTAAGAAAAAACGCCGATAATTATTTTAAATGGTTGTAACTCTGAAAATAATGTGAATTTTTCAAAAAGCGTAGTTGAGCATCTATACAAAGATCTGAGGTATATACAGGCAAAATATTATTATAATAGAAGCACTTTTCACAAAAGGAGAACATTTTGAAAAAAAGGTTATTCTAAGTTAATTTTTTGCCGAAATATTGTATTTAAATAATATTTTTCATCATAATGTCCTTAAAACTATTTTATACATGTATTCTAATCTATGTGACACTAAATATCCTGAAAATTATCCATTTATTCACTTTTTTTTAAAATCACAGTTCCGAACGTAGTCGGATACTTTAATCTCTAATGAGCTTTGTATTATCAAATAAGCTTTTTAAGACACGTCATGCATCCAAGTGTGAGATCCATTTCATTGTGGCACAATCTAGTGGCTCTCTCGCTACCAAATTTTGAAACTCTGAAAAATCAATTTTAATTCAAGATCTCATTGGGGGATAAATATCGCTGCAGTTTAATTTTATCGAGAGTACCACAGACAAATTGCTATTCAAGGGAACTTTTACATGCAACACAATCATGTGACATGCCTGCTTACAATTTTCGCATCTATCACAAATTTATCGACTCCAGCCGGGATCGAACCCGTAATCTTGGCTTACGAAGAGGGCCTCTTACCCACTAGCCGACGCCATCTTAAAGTAAATAACATAATCCTATAAAGGAAAATTTTTGCCATAACTCGATAGCATTATCGTTCAGGTATGAATCCAAATTGTAAAATTCTAATTTAATCATTTATGAATTTATATATAATATTGCACAAGTTCATTTTTCTACCAATAAATGATCCAATACTTTTAAGTACAGTCGGGCCTCTATATAACGAAGTCGCTAAATCGCGGGGATAAATTCGTTACATGGAAAATTCGTTATATAGAAGTTCATCTTTTAATATACTTTATAAACCACATAAGACAAATTTTAAATTCATAAACATTATATATATTAAAAAGAATTAATTATTCACACCTTTTTGTAAATTAAGAATATTTATTTTATATATCTTACCTATCAAAAAGAAAGAAAAGAGCGAAAGAAAAACTACAATGAAAGTTTTCGGCCCTTTACCCTTTTTTGAAGAAGTAATCGTTTTCAGATTAAACACTTACATTTTGACATTTTGAGCTACGAAACGAAGTTACCAGTGCGACTGATCAACACTCAAAATGAACGGAGACTGCCCGAGACACGGGGACACGAGATGCCCCCCACTGAGGGAAAAAGGATATCAAAGAAGTTTCAGGGACTGGACGAGGGGGAAAAGGTTGCATTTTTGGCTGGCTCCCGAATTCTTTGCCTTTGGAGGCACTAATAAAACTAGTTCAAGTTTTTGAAAAAAATTTATTTAAAAAGAAGAATAACGAAATGTGGGGTATTTTTAAAAAAAAGGGGGGAAAAAATCGAATCAGAAGAGAAAAAGTTCATTATATAGGAAAAGCACTTCTCTATTGGGAGGTTATTTCACTAAGAAAATCACGAAAAGTTCTTGGTTCCCGGGGAAAAAATTCTTTATAAAAAAAATTCAAATTTTGGAGTTTTGCTGTATATATTTTTATTAAAAAAATTCAAAAAAGAAAAACCAGAAACCTAAGCAATTTTAAAAAAGATAAATTATAAATTTTAGACTGTACAAAATTTTCAAAAAATTTATATCATAATGTGGACTATGTGTATGTGTATATATATAGCTACTTTTTGTTTAAAATCAACAAAAAAACTACTTAATGCTCAAAATAAATTAAATTTACAAAATACCCCTTTTTCTTAGTTATAAATTTCTTCTGTCCATTTCATGTTTTTATTTTATTTTATTTCTTTGTTTCCCTTTTTTTTCAATTTTCCTACTATTAGTTCACTCTCTCCCTATATATATTTATTTATATATACATATCTTGTTCAACTTTTCAATCGTTAACAAAATAATTTCTATTCATCCAATTAAGTTCAAATGCATTCTTTTTTAAATCTGTAGTGGATGGCACTTGATGGTAACACAGTTTTTTCAAATATTTATTCATTAATTAAATCAAAAAATGAATAAACAGTAACAAACAAAAATAATAGTCCAACAGCATATATAGAAAGAAAAATTGTTCGTTGTGTCCCTATAGCGCAATGGACAGAGCATTGTGCTTCTAATCCAAAGAGCGTGAGTTCGGATCATATTTGGATGGTATAGTTTCTAAGGTTGTGATTTCTTTTTTTTACTATATTATTTCATTAGAATAATTAAATTTAATTAATGAATAAATACTAACAAACTAACAAAAAATAGCCCAACAATCTATATAGACAGGAAAATGGAAAATTGCAAGGGAAATCGCTTTCTCTTTTGTCACTTAATATATTGATTCTGTCACACGTATTTACATATTTATATTGATTGTAACTATTTAATAAAAAATAACTATATATATATAAAATAAAATTTTTCTTTGTTGACCTAAGTAGGAATCGACTTAAAAAAAAATTATATTACTTGTTTTTACATATTTCATTTCCAACATAAATTTTCATTTTATTACTTTTTCAATTCGTTGAAAAACAGAGACCTGGCAGCGGTGGGATTCGAACCCACGCCTCCGAAGAGACTGGTGCCTTAAACCAGCGCCTTAGACCGCTCGGCCACGCTACCGTCGGATAATCATTGTATCCTCTTATCACAATGAATAAAGTAGAATCAATTAGTGACTATTGGTTGGAGGAAAATAGTTGTTTCTAGTGAACATTTTTAAATTATTACACAGTGGCTTTAATTTTAAAAAGATAACACATATAGCTTTTATCCTTATATATTACTGGAAAAAACTGTGCTTATGAGAATATAACAAACTTAACACGCAAACATGTTATGCATTTAGTAAGCGCCCTGTAAATATTACGCATCGTGAACATAATTTTCTTAAAAATACTTCTGGCAGCGGTGGGATTCGAACGCACGCCTCCGAAGAGACTGGTGCCTTAAACCAGCGCCTTAGACCGCTCGGCCACGCTACCGTCGGATAATCATTGTATCCTCTTATCACAATGAATAAAGTAGAATCAATTAGTGACTATTGGTTGAAGGAAAATAGTTGTTTCTAGTGAACATTTTTAAATTATTACACCGTAGCTTCAATTTTAAAAGATAACATATAGCTTTTATCCTTATATATTACGGGAAAAAATGTGCTTATGAGAATATAACAAACTTAACACGCATCGTGAACATAATTTTCTTAAAAATACTTCTGGCAGCGGTGGGATTCGAACCCACGCCTCCGAAGAGACTGGTGCCTTAAACCAGCGCCTTAGACCGCTCGGCCACACTACCGTCGGATAATCATTGTATCCTCTTATCACAATGAATAAAGTAGAATCAATTAGTGCCCTATTGGTTGAAGGAAAATAGTTTTTTTCTGTGAACATTTTTAAATTATTACACCGTAGCTTCAATTTTAAAAGATAACATATAGCTTTTATCCTTATATATTACGGGAAAAAATGTGCTTATGAGAATATAACAAACTTAACACGCATCGTGAACATAATTTTCTTAAAAATACTTCTGGCAGCGGTGGGATTCGAACCCACGCCTCCGAAGAGACTGGTGCCTTAAACCAGCGCCTTAGCCCGTTTCGGCCGCTACCGTCGGATAATCATTGTATCCTCTTATCACAATGAATAAAGTAGAATCAATTAGTGACTATTGGTTGAAGGAAAATAGTTGTTTCTAGTGAACATTTTTAAATTATTACACCGTAGCTTCAATTTTAAAAGATAACATATAGCTTTTATCCTTATATATTACGGGAAAAAATGTGCTTATGAGAATATAACAAACTTAACACGCATCGTGAACATAATTTTCTTAAAATCTTGGCAGCGGTGGATTCGAACCACGCCTCCGAAGAGACTGGTGCCTTAAACAGCGCCTTAGACCTGGCCACGCTACGTCATAATCATTGTATCCTCTTATCACAATGAATAATCAAGTAGTGACTTGTTGGTGAAGGAAAATGATTTCCCTAGTGAACTTTTTTAAATTATTACCCCTGGCTTTTTAAGAAGATAACATACAGCTTTTATCCTTATATATTACAGAAAAAAACTGCTTGTGAGAATATAAGAAACTTAACACGCAAACGTTTTATGCATTTAATAAGCGCCCCGTAAATATTACGCATCGTGAACATAATTTTCTTAAAAATACTTCTGGCAGCGGTGGGATTCGAACCCACGCCTCCGAAGAGACTGGTGCCTTAAACCAGCGCCTTAGACCGCTCGGCCACGCTACCGCTGTTTCTACTGTAATCGCTTTTTCTCCCAACACCAGAAAGTGTTGATCCAATTAAGAATACTGTTGCGAGAAAACAGGAAACGCCCTTTTCTCCTGCATTGAATGAATAGATCGGTTAAGTAAGTATATTTTTAAACTTCCCGTTTAACTGATACGTTAACTATTTTATATTTCCCTTTTTTTTAAAGCATTCATGAAATATTTTTGTGTGATAAGAATAATTGAATATTAGAGTCGCACTAAGAAGCAACACAAAATCTATTGGTGATAGACCTTGTAATTTTCAGCATGTCCGAGTGACGAGAATGACGCGTGAGTTGACACCTCACTCTTCAGACTTCTACATCACTCCAATGTGAGGACTATCATCCTTGATACATTCAACGAGCTGTCTACACGACGTGTAATTAGTGGCAACAGGTCTCCAACATTTGACTCGACAGAAATAAAGCTAGTTAGAAGAGTTCGTGACCATGACTACTCGGCTACCGCAGCCACAGTTAGAATGGAATGCAAATTAAGTGAATAAGCTGTCAGCTAAGATATCATCTTTGTCACCTGACGTGGTTCAAAACAAAGAGATAATTCTCATGTTGGTCTCTTACAACTATAAGCTGATGTAAATGAAATAAACATACTTAAGGTGACTGCTTACCTTTGGACACATTTTTTTTTATAAAAACAAATTTATGAAACAAATTGAGTGTTTTTAGGAAGAAAAATAAAAAAATATGTAAATACATAAAAAATTTTAAATAAATATTGTACTTTTAGAAAAATTGGTTGTTTTCTAGGAAATTTTACCAAATTTTTACTAAAACGGGTAACACTGTATAAAAATTTCTAATACAATTATCATAATTTTCTTTATACACAACATACATATTACGATGTTCTTCAAAATGAACCAAAATCTAAGAGAAATATTAAAATACAAAAAAATTACAGACAATTATACATAATAATATGAAAAATTTAATATTTTTTAAAGATTTTCTTTATAAAAACTACCCTAAATGAAAAAATATTTAACCTACCACAAAACTTATGGTCTTGAAATATATAAACTATAAGATCTTGAAATAAAAAAAATGCCTTATGTAGACGAAAAACGACATTTTCAAAGTAGGCAGTCACCTTATGTCTTGGAATCACTCAAATACCACTATGCGATTTATAATGAATGGCGATTGCATATTCAAGTAGATATATAAAAAAGTACACTGGTGTGCAAAACTTAAGCAACAGGTGGGTTTATTGCCATAACTTCACGAAAAATCATCTGAGACATGAAATTCTGAAATGAGGAGAGTATTATGTACGTAAGGGGATGACAAAAGCATCGGCGCTGAAAAAGGAATACAACGCATACGGTATGGAATAAAACAAAAACAAGCTTTATTGAACGCATAGTATCGTGACTCATGATTGTCTATCCAACAGGAAGAACAACAAGCAGATGTTCCTTAATATGGTATATGCCCTCCCCTCTCTACAATAGTTGCTTCGCACCGTCTCCGCATACTCAGAACCAGCTGGTGCGACATCTCTTGAGGTAGGAGTGTCCATTCCTCAATCAACATCTGTTTGAGTTGTTGGTTGTTCTCCGGATGATGTAAGCGTGTGGCAATACGTCTCCCCAAAGCATCCCACACATGTTCGATGGGATTTAAATCTGGGAGCACGCTGGCCAATCCATTCGAGTGATATCTTCACTTTCCAGCAGCTCCTCAACAGCAAGAGTGCGATGTGGCCGTGCATTGTCATCCATAAAAATGAAGTCTGGGCCAATGGCACATCGGAAAAGACGCACATGGGAAAGAATACCTCCTCACAATAGCGATCCCGTTTACAGACCCTCTGTCGAAAATGTGAAGCTCAGTTCGCCCGTTCAGCATAATGCCTCCCCAGACGAGAACTCCAGGACCACCGTAATGGTGTCTTTCCTTGATGTTACTGGGATAAAACCGGGTCCCGATCTCTCCAAATCAAAACGCGTTGAGAATCGCTTCTGGCACTGAACCGACTCTCATCCGTAAAGAGGACACGACTCCATTGATCAGTTGTCCAGTTTTTGTGCTCTCTGGCGCACTGTAAACGGTGGCTTCGGTGGCCAACTTTCAACGGGAGGCAGCGTTCAGGACGGCGGAGCGAACAGGCCCCTTGTGGAAGGCGTCTGGCCACAGTAAACCGCGACACTTGGCGACCCGTTGCTGTACAGAGTTTCTGAGCAATGGCGCTAGCTGACTGCTATCGACCTCTTTTCACCTGCAGGATGATATATCGGTCATCCCCTGCTGTTGTCGTCCTCGGGCGGCCACCCAACCTTTCTAACAGCTGTATCTGTGGTTTGGAACGCTTTCAAGCGCGCGAAACGACACTTTTTTTTGATTCCGAACTCTGCGGCTACACTGGTGACAGTACGCCCCTCTTCCAGCTTTCCGTTCATTCTTCCACGTGTGAAGTCGTCCAGGTGATTTCTTCTAGCCATATTTCACGAACTGACTCACTGGCACTTGCAGCGAATATGTTGAATTGCGTCTCCGTAATTCATTTTATTCTACTGTTGAGCAGCGCGCGCCGACATCACGCGTTTTGCGTACGCTCACATCGCTTCTGACGTTTTGTTCCTGATATTTGCATACGCATTACGTTTGTACTGATTTACGTGTTCACTGTACTGATCTCCAGACCTCCTTTTCTGCAATTTCATGGCTATCTGCTAAATTTTTACATTGTTGCTTAAGTTTTGCACACCAGTGTATATACGTATAAAGTAATGAAACAATAGTTATAAAATATTATTTTCAAAATTCGAATCGAAGAAAAATCGAAAATGATAGTCAAAAATTGATCATATCTCAAAAATATTTAAATACATTAAACAAAATGTTTTTCCTGAATTACAAATTAATGCGTTAATTTAAATACCAAGCACCTTGTTTAACAAGAGTGAAACTATCTTTTCTAACTAAAATTCTATCTTCAATGTCTTGGTTTTAAAACTATTTTTTTTTTAAAAGGCCTGGAGGGGCTAATGGTCGCGAACTCGTCTTTGGTATTACTTTTATCGAGTCTCAAGTTCTCTCGTTAGCGAGTTGTGGAAGTTTGGAGAGTGGACTACCTGCTCAGATTACATCATTTCCCAAACCCAATTTGGTTCGGTTCCCTTCCCCAAAACCTCCCATTACTTCAAAATGCAACTTTAATATACAGCATGTTTCTAAACATTTGAGAATATATCTGTGTGAAGTGAACTTTCCTCCATCATTTAATGTAATTTTCCCTTAATGACGCATAACTAACGATTTAGGCCAGGGATGGCAAACCAGTGGCACACGTGCCATTAATGGCCCCGAGACACAATATTTTGGGCACTCCGATCAAAACAGCTTGCATTTTAGTTTGTGACGGGCTCACGCGTTTTTTTTATTAAATGCCTTTGCGTTCTTTTGGGCCAATTAAAGGAATTCTTTTCAACCCCAAAAAAAAGTGAAACGTGAATAAAAGATGTAAAATTGTAAGCTTTAAATATCAGAAGTTAATAAATTGTGTGGAATTTGGGGGAAAGTTAAGAGGGGGCGTGATTCAAATTTTGGTGCAGCCAACAGGGTTACCCCAAAGATAGAGCCATTAGGTCAAGTTCATACCATTGCACTCAAATTACACAATTTCCTTGTTGGATCGGGATATGATTAAGGTAGGATTGATTTTTAATATTAGGACTTGAGATTTTTTTGGAAATTGAGCTTAGGCGAGTTGTTATTGATAGTGGTCCGAGTTACGTTATTTCGGTATTATTTTATTGTGTTTTTTGTCATCGTAGATTCTCTCACATATATTATTTTTAAAACTTTTAAACGTTTTACGATCTTAAAAAAGACAAAATTAAGATCGGAATCTTCTATTCTTTCGTTAATCCTACACCTCAGCTCCCAATAATCAGGAGAAGGGGCACCCCAGGGGCGTATCCAAGTTCAAAAAAAAAGTTCAGATGGTTTACGAACAAACGCACACACATTTTAATTCGGGTTGTTTAAACCGTGGACTACAATTGCTAATAGTGCAAAGTTTGTGTACGGTTTTTAACTGTTATTTAACATGGCTAGTTACCACAAAAAAGGCGCAAGATAGTAAATGTAACATATAATTTCAAACTTGGTGAACTCAGAAATTTGGCACGATTAGTAAATGCGACAAACTGGAGTGCGCAACAATGGTATGTAAAATATTGTCTATAAAACGGTATTTTGAAACCAATTCTTTTGTCAAAAGAGTTAATCGAACAAAAGAGTTTATTGTTTGAAACCGTTTGGCAGGCTCAATTCACAGCATTCTTAAAAGTACCAT